TCTGTTGTGTTTTTTCTGTTTGTCTTATGGCCTCTATTTATAACAGCGTAATCCTAACTGGCCGATTATTGTATCTATCTACATCCTCTAGTCACACAAAGTAAGAAAGAACTTCTGGCTACTTGGACCATAACTCTAATTCACCTCGTTTTACTCACAAACGACTTGCTTCTTCTCTCTCCTTCACCTAACCAGATTCGACTTCTGCTTCTAACTCGTTTCTCATCTCAAAATTCGACTTGGCACAAAAAGAAAACAATGCTTAAGACGACTCGACTGACTCTATTGAAGGATGTGTTAATAAGAATGGAACATTTGTAGATGTCTGTTATTAACATTGTAGCAACCCGCTACCACTTCCTTATCAATGTCTAATTTTGTACATTTTTTGTGCAAAAAAGTGGATCAGAGAGCCAGCTCGCTCAGTAAATATTTTCAGGAGATATCAGCTTCTAATTGGTCAATAAACACACACGTGGGCGTTGCAACCCACCCACGTACAAATATTTTTCCAGCGCGTAACCAAGTCAAGTTTCCCGACAATTTCCTGCGATCCTGTCACGTGATTACATTATCTATAAATAGCAGACACGAGTTCGCTCATTCTCTTTTACTCTTCCAAATTCCTGCGAAGATGTGACCTTAAGGATTTCCGTCTCGACCATGTGCGGTCAGAATTTAAAAGCATATTCACGCATACACGTACGTACGAACTTTCCCAACCTACATTACAAACATCCAGAACATTTCCAAACATGCAACAAGAACTTTTCTCTTTGAAATATTATTCTAAAAGTACAGTTTATTCAGCATTTCTCATTTTTATTCAACTTTTGTGAGTTCAGATAAAAATATTCCCAGTCTAAGAGACATAACTCCAACAGAGCTTTAACTTCTACGCATGTACATCAACACACAAATAAATACAAATGTTGTTTTAAAACCATTTTGTTCCTTCTTGTATTTCATGTTTTGTAGCATTTTTACGTTTAATATAAATTGTGTGATCATGTTATTCACGCAGCCATAAACAAATGTCTACAATTGTCCATTCTTATTACTATAACATGACTATACGATTTGCATTTAACGTAAAATATCACAAAATATGAAACAGCAAGAAGGAATAAAAACGGTTTTATAACATTAACATTTATATTTATTTGTGTGTGTACATGCGTAGAGGTTTTGGTGTTATGTCCCTTTGACTAAATTAATGAGATTGAAATATTTTTTATCTGAGCTCACAAAAGTTGAATGAATTATAAAGCTGAATAAACTGTGGCTTTAGAAAAGTATTTCAAAGAAAAAACTTCTTGTGGCTTGTTTGGAAATTTTCTGTATGTTTGTAATGTAGTTTGGAAAATTTCGAACGTACGTGCATGCGTGAATATGCTTTTAAATTCTGACCGCACAAGGTCGAGACGGAAATCCTTAAGGTCACATCATCGCAGGAAAAGGGAACAGAAGAGAGAGAGAGAGAGAGAGAGAGAGAGCAGCAAGCTCGTATCTGTTATTTATAATTAATGTAACCACGTGACTGTAAGCGATCTGGGATTGCAAAGGAAATATTTGTCGCAGATTACTTCCACAACGCAGAGAATAAATCACTAAGTTCAGACTCGAACATCAGGGGCAAAAGAAATGCCGAAAACTCGATTCGCAGGTACTATCTCACAATTCACACAACCAGTCAGGAAAATAACTCACTCTCCAACCAACGCGGTAGCCAAAATACCTGAATTTCCCCCCGATTCGAGAACACCAACTGCTTTTATCGACCGAGCGTTTTTTCCATTCGTCGACAGCTGGGAGAGGACGCTCAATTTTTGCATAACAAATTACTTTTATAGCGACTCCTGCGACGGACTTGGTTTTCAATTTAAATATTCCGTCTTCAGCATGTCATGCGGAATACGTGCCCGTTTTGGGGGTAAGTAATTTTCTTTTTCGCCACATTTTCCCTCGTAGAATACACGCGACGCGCTGACACTTGGTTTGACGAGGTAAGTCGCCGTTTTCTTTACTATAGTGACAGCATCAAAAGAACTTGGCGGGAAAACTTGACTTCGTCACGCGCCTGAAAAATATTTGTACGTGGGTGGATTGCAACGCACACTTGTGTGTATTGACCAATTAGAAGTTGATATTTCCTGAAAATCTGTATGAAGCTGAATAAAATTCAACATTGATAAGAAAGTGGTAGCTGGATGATAAAACTCCACCAAATAAGAAAGTGACACAAAGTGAACGTAATCAGTTTATAATAATATCTTATACCCAATTTTTTGTTTTTATATCTCAATTATTTTTTTCTCAGCTCCTTTCACGCCCAGATATCCATTGCTTCTTGGTGGCTTTATTACCTTGGGGTGAAATGTATAAAAACAAAAAAGTTACATGGGGAGGTAAATCTTGAACTGGGTGGGGCTGACAAATAAGGAGAATGCGATGTTTTGCCAGAAAGGCTCTTTCACGACACGTAAAGCACTGGCAAGCACATTACCAGGACGAATTCAATAATCACACAGTACACAACCTCACTAAATGGCTTCTCCCTGGCGGATGAATTAACGCATGAGACAGCTAACGTATACGCAGGTCCCTTCTGGTTTGTTGGCAAGTGACATCAAGACAGCATATTCTTAATGGCTGGTAACTTCCCGAACAAAGTGTGTGTGCGCGTGTGTGCGTGTGTGTGTGTACGTGTGTGTCTGCGCGCGCGCAAGTGTGTGTCTGAGGATGTTTTCTCTCTTTATCAATCTTTTTACCCTTTTTTCCCTTCCATATATTCACGAAATATTTTTCGATTCTCTCTATACGCATCTCTCTCTCACGCTCGCTCTCTCTCTATTTCCGTTTACGTTGCTCTCTCTCTCTCTCTCTCTCTCACTTTCTCTTTTTCTCTCTTCCTCTCGACATACCTATTCTTTCTCGTGTGCACACCCACCACATGGAACTATCATTAAACATATAACAATTTTAATCAACATATACACTTTGGGTTGGCTGAAAAGTTCTCATCCTGACCAAGAAAGGACTCCAGGTGAATTCTAATGTTTAGTGAGATTTTAGAAAAAGGTTTCCGACTGAGAACTTTTCATCCACTTCTCGTATTAGCACTTCATTTTCTTTTCCGTCATGTACAGACGCATCTCTTTTATAAAATATACGCATAAATAAACATGTCTTCGAGATCATTGTACATGCCTGCATACAAAGACCGAATCTAATTTTTTTTTTTTTATTTCAATATCGGATTTCGAGCACTCCTAATTTCAATTCTTTTCTTATGTTTTTTTTTTCTCTTTTTCAAACAAGAAACACGAGCATCACTTTTTAAAACTAATATTTACTTCGGAATGTTCGCAAAATTTTCAATTTACTTTTTTCTGACATATTCATTAAAATTTAATTACTACCTTTTCTTTTTGAAAAGTGATCACTTTTTATTTCTCTCCTCGCATGCTTCTTTGATCATGTATGTATGTATGTATGTATGTATGTATGTATGTATCTATCTATCTATCTATCTATCTATCTATCTATCTATCTATCAGAGACTGTTCTAGCTAGCTAGCTAACTGGCTATCTCGGTCTGTCATCTATCTATCTATCTATCTATCTATCTATCTATCTATCTATCTATCTATCTATCTCAGTCTGTTCATATCTACCTATTTATCTATCATAGGGATAGCCTTGTGACCGAAATAGTTGCTATTTCTCACACTATTCATTGTTCTAACTCACAGAAAACTTAGGATTTCAGACTCTGATATCCAAGGAAATCAAGCAAGAAAATTGGCGCAACAGTATCTTCCTTATTTCAAGTTTTTTCATCTTACTCTGCCAAGCTTAGGAAATAATTTTAAAATCTATCTATGTCAGTCTGTTTTTATCTATCTATCTATCTGTGCACATATATATTTATCTTCTCAATTCATCATATGTAATTTATCCAATCTCGATCCATCTGCTTTATACACGTTTCAAGTGCTCTCACTATTATGGGCACGACCCTTGCTTTAATATTACCTAGGTTTCTTTGTTCAAGAACAACTTTCCTTTCCTTTCAACTTCATTCGATGGTCCGCTGACATAGTCACATACACGATCTTGCACGGTCTCTTTACTGTCTTTGCGGTTATCAGATGAAGCGGTCAGTCTCGAGTTTAAAATTCTAGAACATCTTATGGCCTTTTTTTGCTTTTCTACAACAACTTCTGGCATGTACTGATGCTATTTGTCTACGTGCTCGAATCAAAGTCGTTTTGCACAGTTCTCAGTATATGACTGTTTCTTCCCTGTCGTGTTTGTATTGATTTTCATTTCGAACCTTCATTCATTTATGACTTCATGTCCTTTCTTCACAAAGACAATATTATTCCTTCTGATTTTTACCTATTTGGGGCGTATTTATTAATCCTTTCCCACGGACGAAACGTCACAAGCCTCTCGCTAATCTATCGTTATTTCTATTGAAAGTGCTCAGACGAGCTACGTCCCTTATTTCCACCAGTTTTAATCTTCACGGCTAAGACCCGTCATGCCACACCCATTGTAGAGAACCATCCCCACTCCCATCATATACCTTTCGAGTGATGTAGGTTCCACTCAAACAGCTTCTTTCCACGAAGCACTAATTTGTGGAACCGACTCCCAAGAGGATGCTTTCCTAATGAATACAATACAAAAATACTGAATTTTAATAAAAGGCTGAAAAAAGGCAATAATCCTTGTTGATGACGTCTGCTCAGGTACATTTGCTCCTGGGAAGACTTCCTGACTGAATTTTAATAAAAGGCTGAAAAAAGGCAATGGGCGCTATTCAAAAAACGGAAAAGAAGTGTGAACAGGGCGATATGAATAGACATTTATCCCTTGTTTCCTGTTTAGGATTGTGTTTCCGGTTGCTTGTACATTCGCCTCATTCTCTTTCACAACTAGTAATCCCTTGCGTCTTAGTGGCATTATCGACTTGCTTGAGCGAAATGATTTTAAAAATAGATAGATAGATAGATAGATAGATAGATAGATAGATAGATAGATCGGAAAACGTCTTAGGAAATGTATGAAATTACATCTCCCTTTTTTTTCAGCTGATAGATAGCATACCAAAATATCTCGTACCTTGCATCGTGTGATGGCTGAATCAAGGAAGATTAATCACTCCGGTAAATCACTCCCTAATTATCCCCATAATTGCGGTTAGAACGTCATTGTTCCAATTATGAAACACGGGTTTGAATCTCACTATGGTCGATTTGTGAAGGAGGTGAAATGCCTAAAAACCATACCATGGGTTGAGCCAAGTATCTATCAGATCACCGCAGTTGGGAACACAGCGTTATTGTGAACTCTGCGATCCTTTCATAAGATGCATAATATATACGGCTTTAAATTCAACGATTTTAAATTCTCCTAGACTGGTTGACAGCCAAGGTTTAAGAGCTCAGTTTGCTCTGTTATTTAACCCATAGTCGAGGAGGAAAGAAGACATGGATTCATACCTTTCCCAATTTTTTTTCGAAAGTAATTGTAAAGAAAGTCAACTGAAATTTGAACACTGCTCACCGATTTCTTGTCCCGAGCCACTAACCACTGCACTAACTGATTAAGTGCTAAATTACCATAAAGAAAATCATCCAAACTCTGTTTCCCGATTCCTTTTGCTATGCCAACAATCGTGATGTTTCCAGAGGAAACATGCAAAGAATATATATTTTATAACACTATTTTTTACTCAATGCAAGGCTCAAAAGCCACTCAAGGTAGACGATTACCGAATGAAGCTGTTGTATGAAGTTAGGATGAGGTAAGAAGTGCAGAATTCAGGATATGTAGGAAAGATAACGATTGAATCTAGACTTGAAGAGATTAACATTGCTTCTGTCTGAATTTATGGAATTTATACTGTTTACATTCTGACTACACTCCTCATATTTGTTGTTGTTATCAAAATATTTCGGCTGTTGTGTCCTCCGGCCTTCGTCATGTCGATCTAGGTAATCTACGGGGAATTCTGAACTGAATCCTTTATTTTCAATAGATAATCAGATAGAAATCTTGACCTTCTATGCACTGACATTTTTTCCAACTGGAGTCTGATATATACCAACAGGGAGAAGGTTTGACTATGGGTTCACCATTGTTACCAGTGATGGCGAACATATAGATGGAATATTTCGAAGAAATGACTTTAAAAATGACATCATTAAAGCCGAGGTACGTAGATGACACCTTCATGCTATGGCCACACAAGGAGGCTGTTGCAAATACTGCTGGACCACGTGAACTCAATAAAACCTTCGACCCAGTTCAATCAGCTAGCCTTCCTGGGTGTACTAATAATTCCCGCAGAGAATAGATGCAAGGTAGTTGTTACGTTGTAGGGTACTGCTTATACTGACCATTTCTTGTTCATATGTCTTTGGGTCACCACTTATGACTTTTGCTCGGTGTTGTAAGCAGCGGACGATCCCTTTCTTTACACTGTATGGGCGGTGGGTGTTGAAGCTGAGCTTGGCATCGTCTGTGAGGAAAAGAGCACCATGACGCAATTCACTCCGCGAGAAATTTGGAAACGGCATGTTCTACTGCTTGGCATTCGCGCCGGAAGCTCTAATACAAATATTTCAGTGTTTGGGTGTCAATCTGAGGACAGTGCAGATGATTCGGAAGGAGTTGGATGAGTCTAATGGTGAGCACGAAGGTTTTGGGAGTGATTACTAGTGATGGCGACATTATGCCTCTATTTATCTTCCCAGAGAGCCTCAGACTCAACACGGAGGCTACTACCACCCGAAAGCACTTAATGTAAATCAAGTGCTTTGAGGTGGTAATGCTGACCTGGGGTCAAGAGGGTGGCTGCTGGAAAACCCTATGTCTGACAACAGAACTCGACACCATGCCACATAAGCAGGAGAACCCAGTTATGGCTGTCAGACAATTTCTGCGACCACATCACCCCTTACATCTGGCCATCTAATTCCCCAGACTGCAACCCACCTTGATTATTATGTGTGGGCACAGTTGAGCGAGAGATCACCAAGACTCCTTGTAACACCAAAGATGAACTGAAGGCAAATATTATGGCAGCATCCACCAATTTAAACAAAGAGACTGTCCAGAAGTGTTGCAGGAGATTCCGAAATTGCCGTGTTTAAAGCCAATGGCAATTTTATTGAATAAATTTAATCTTTAGTATTTCAAGATATTTTTGTGTAATTTTGGAAAATATATCTGCAAAAATGAGATGTGTTATTTTCATTTTTGTCTAATTTAGACGACAATTTATACATCACATACTATATATACACAAAGTATGTGTGCATGCGTATTTTTCTGCATATGTGTATGTATATGTATATGTCATTTTGTGTCTATATGCGTACGCTTGGAAAATGTCTGTGTGTATGTGCATCTATATGTATATTTGCGTGTGCATGCGTCTAAAAATGTGTCTCTGTGTTTCTGTTTTTGTTTTTGTGTAAGTGTCTACCTTTAGGGTTGCGTGTGTTTGTCGGCGTATATGTATGTGTGTGTATCTAAATGTATGTATGTTATGTATGTCTAGTTGTATATGTGTGCCTGTGTATGTGTGTTTGCTTATGTTTATGGGGGCGTATCTCTGTATGTGTACTTATTTGTTTGTGTGTGTCTATCTGTATGTGTGACTACATGTGTGTATCTATATGTACATCAGTGAATGTATATGTGTGTGTATGTATACCCATCTGTATGTCTATGGTGATTTTCTAAGTATAACTTAAAAGTGGCACAAGGCCGAAAGTATTGAGTACCCACTGAGGAATCTGTATGCCTGTGGATGTGGAGGTATGTATGTGTGAACATGTGTGTGCTTCTGTGCGTTTGCGAGCATCTATATGTGATTGTGTGTATGTACTTCTTCAGAGAGAAAGAGAGAGAGAGATTGAGATTGAGTGTACGAGAGAGAGAGAGAGAAAGAGAGAGAGATTGAGATTGAGTGTGCGAGAGAGAGAGAAAGAGAGAGAGACTGAGATTGAGTGTAAGAGAGAGAGAGAGAAAGAGAGAGATTGAGATTGTGCGAGAGAGAAGAAAGAGAGAGAGAGATTGAGATTGAGTGTACGAGAGAGAGAGAGAAAGAGAGAGAGAGAGATTGAGATTGAGTGTGCGAGAGAGAGAGAGAAAGAGAGAGAGAAATTGAGATTGAGTGTGCGAGAGAGAGAGAGAAAGAGAGAGATTGAGATTGAGTATGCGAGAGAGAGAGATTGAGATTGAGTGTGCGAGAGAGAGAGAGAAAGAGAGAGAGAGAGAAAGAGAGAGAGAGAAAGCTAATAACGAGATTCAGGCAAATCATGACACATTCCCCTTTAATCGGTAACAGATTGAACGACTTAATAAGAAATAAAATTAAAAACAAATAAAATTAATTAATTAATTGATTGATTGATTGATTAAAAATAAATTAAAAACCAACAATCTTTGATTATTACCAGAAAATTACAAAATCAAAAAACTAGCAGGATGCAGATAAAAAATAAATTTAGCACAAAGATAGAAAAAGAGATAAAAAAAGGATAGGTCTTTTCAACAGATTTATTTGACCATTACAGCAAGAAACTAGAAGTCCTGCTAGGATTTATTTAACCTTTACAGAAAGAGAACTAAAAGTCCTACTTGGATTTATTTAACTTTTACAGCGAGAGAACTAGAAGTCCTACACAGAATTATTGAACCTTTACAGCAAGAAATCTAAAAATCCTACTAGGATTTGTTTGATCTTTACAGAAAGAGAACTAGAAGTTTCTACTCGAAATCATTTAAACTTTACAGCATCAGAACTAGATGTCGTACTAGGATTTATTTAACCTTAACAAGAAGAGAACTAGGAGTCCTACTAGGATTTATTTGACCTTTACAGCAAGAAAACTAGAAGTCCTACTACAAATTATTGAACTTTTACAGGATGAGAACTATACCTTTTTAACTTCAAAATGATAATAATCAACTTCAAAATGGACTTATTTTCAGGTAAAAAATTAATCAACTCTAAAATGGATTAATCAACTTCAAAATGGATTAATCAACTTCAAATTGAGAATTAATATAATACTAATAAATTTAATATTTATTCTTTTATTTTTACTTAAAAGGGATATAAAAAAATATAAACGTTCCCAAGAAAATTATTTAAAAGAGGGAAGTAATCTCTGTATTCCAGATACGAAGTTAGTGCAAGTCTCAGGGGAAATATTATCAATTGCCTCGGAGATCATCGCTTCTAACATGCTGAGGCGAAATTCTTTAGTAGTTAAAGATCCCTGGCCATTACCTCTTAAAATCCCAACAATTGAGTCTGCCATTCTTTTTACGTCAGCTTTAATGACTGACCAAACCTTTTCAATAGGATTTAACATCGGACTATAGGGGGCAAGTCTGAAAATTTGGTGTTGCTTAAATTCAACCTCCTCCACCACAACTTCTTCAATTAAAGTATGGCAAGAAGCGTTATCAATAACTAAGACAACTCCCCTTTCATAAATTTCATTTGCCTTTCTAAGGCACTCCCTGGTCCATTCTTTCGCATCCTCTTTTTTGAAAGAACCTCTTTTAATTTTATGATGAATTAATCCATTATTATTAATACATCCAATAACATGGATCTTATTTCCCTGGATCCGGCCGCGACTTTTTTAGAGCGACCTTCTCTTTTTGAAATATGGAGATTAAAATTGGTTTCATCCATATAAAGAATTGGTACACTTTGGGACTGAAATTCTAATAAGCTACTGCGTAATCCTTACGTTTCGCCTTATTGACATTATTATTGGCAGCTTCTGGTTCATAATGAACCGCTTTTAAAGTAAAGGCCATGGAGTCCAAGTTCTTTCTTATGCATTCTTTCGTCACACAAACCTCATACTTTTCGACCAACTTATTTACAATGTCTTGAAGAGTGACCCTAGGAGAGTTTTCAATTAATTCGGCCATAAAATTCTTATGCTCTTGCGTAATTTTATATTTTCTTGCTCCTCCCCTAGAGTCACTCTTATCAGCACCCTGGCCTAACCAACGGTACGCTGTTGGCAGAGGCACACCAATTGTTCTTGCCAGGTCTTTCCAATTTCCTGCTGCGGCATGTGCAGCTAAAATCTGAGCCTTTTTTTCGCCAGTCACAATTTTCTTGAGATAAGTCCTCTTTGGAGCTGTTGCTAATTCTTCTTCAGCTTTTTTTGTAGAGGTTTCTCCAGCATCATCATCAATCAGCATTTGTGACCATACGGGACTTTCTCCTCCTACTTTTACTGTAGGCTCACCCAATGCTTTCTTGGCCTCTAAGTTGTTTGTATTTTGTTTTTTTCTTCATCTATATAATGAAAACGAACAGTCAATTTCCTTACTCATGGTGTAAATTAACTGAAAAAATAATTTTCAATTTACAAAAAAATATCTCAATTTGAAGTTGTCTATTCCAATTTGAAGTTGTTTATTCTTATTTTGAAGTTGATTGTTTTTAGGTTTTTGACATTTTCTCAATTTGAAGTTGATTAATCCATTTTGAAGTTGATTGATCCATTTTGAAGTTGATTGATCCAATTTGAAGTTGATTAATCCATTTTGAAGTTGATTGATCCATTTTGAAGTTGATTGATCTAATTTGAAGTTGATTAATCCATTTTGGAGTTGATAAATTTTTTACTTGAAAATAAGTCCATTTTGAAGTTGATTATTATCATTTTGAAGTTGAAAAGGTATAGAAGTCACACTAAGATTTATTTAACTTTTACAGCAAGAGAACAAAACGTCCTATGACAATTTATTTAACTTTTACATTTAGTTGACTAGAAGTCTGACTAGGATTTAATTAACTTTCACAGCAAGAGAACTAAAGATTTATTTAACTTTTACAGTAAGTGGACTACAAGTTCTACTAGGATTTATTTAACCTTTACAGCAAGCGAACTAGAAATCTTATTAAGATTAATTTAAGCTTTAAACAAGAGAACTAAATGTCCTACTAGGATTTATTTAATCCTTACAACACAAGAACTATAAGTCATAAAAGGATTTATTTAAGCTTCACAGCAAAAAAAAAACTAGATGTCGTATTAGGATTTATTTAATCTTTACTAGAAGACACCTAGAAGTTCTACTAGCATTTATTTAACATTTACAGCAAGATAACTAGAAGTCCCACTATGATTTATTTAACCTTTACAAGAGATCTAGAAATCCCCCTAAGAATTATTGAACTTTTACAACAAGAGGACTGGAAGTCCAACTAGCATGTATTTAACCTTTATAGCAAAAGAACTAGATATTGTACTCGGATTTATTTAGCATTTGCAGCAAGAGAACTAGAAATCCTACTAGGATTTATTTAAATTTATGACAAGAGAACTGAAAATCTTATTAGCATTCATTTAACTTTACTGCAAGAGAACTAGAGGTCATACTAGGATTTATTTAACCTTTACAGCAAGAGAAGTAGAAATCCTACTTGAATTTACTTAAATTTTACAGCAAGAGAAAAGTCCTACTAAGACTTATTTACTTTTACTGCAAGAGAACAAGAAATCCTACCACGATTTATTTAACTTTTATAGCAAGAGAACAAGAATTCTAACTTTAACCTTTAGAGGAAAAGTCCTACTCAGATTAATTTAAACTTTACAGCATCAGAACTAGTAATCCTACTTGGATTTATTTACCCTTTACGGCAAGACATCTAGAAGTCCTACTAGCATTTATTCAATCTCTACAGCAAGAAAACCAGAAGTCTTTCTACGTTTTATTTAACTTTTACAGCAAGAGGACTAGAAGTCCTACTAGGATTTATTTAACATTCACAGCAAGCGACTAGACGTCCTAACAGGATTTATTTAACCTTTAAAGCAAGAGAACTAGTAGTTCTACCAGTATGGTCACAATCTTAATAGTGCACTATACACACATGACACCGTGTTGTTAGTAGACACAGAAAGAAAACTGTGTTAAATCCTAGTCAAGCGAGTAAAGGTAAGCAGGAAGAAAAGACTAGCTATCCTTTATAAGAAAGCAGAGTTTATGGTTGCCAGCAATGGGAAAAGCTGATTACGAATTGACCATGTCAAAATTAAGCAAATACCGAAATTTAAATATCTAGCAAATTTTTTTTAACAGATGTGGAACATGTGACACTGCAATCAATCGATGCATGGCGACAGTGAATGGTGCCTTCCAAAAGTAAAAACAAAGTATTAAAAACAGAAAAAAATTGTTATAAACAAAAAAGTGATATGAACTTTTATTTAATATCAATCTCTCGATATGGCAGTAAATGCTGGACAATATATATCAACATAGATAGCATGGAGTATTGCTGCCATATATGGTCTGGAGCCCCTTCTGTTTGCCTCGAGGTTCTTCATAAGATCCAGAGGCGGATATGCAATATAATTGGCGCTGATCTGGCATCTCGCCCGCAGTCGCTCTCTCACAGACGTGCCGTCGCCTCTCTCTGTCTTTTTTACAAATACTTTCATGGTAATTGCTCCGATGAGCTGTTTTCGCTAGTTCCAAGACTTCGCGAATTCAAGCGTCCTACGAGGCTGGCATCCCGCTCTCACCCTTTCACTGTTGAAACTGTTAAATATAGTTGCCTCTTCTACTCCAATAGCTTCATGTCTCGCACCTCTCGCCTGTAGAACACCCTTTCCTATTCATGTTTCTCTGATAGCTATAATCTCCAACTATTCAAATGTAATGTCAATCGACATCTCCAGTTACCTTGATCTATCCACTATCCTTCTCCTCATCCTTTCCTCTATCATTCCTATCTGCTCTCGCTCCAAATCCTCTATAACCCCTTGCGTACTAGTGGCTTCTCGCCTCGCTTGGGGTGAAATGCTTAAAAAAAAGAAGAAAAAAAGATAGAAAGATAGATAGATAAATAGATAATGAACTGACTGCGATAGATAGATAGATAGATAGATAGATAGATAGATAGATAGATAGATAGATAGATAATGTAGGGACGTTATCCGAAATTTAACAAAAAAAATAACTGAATAACATACACATTAATCACACTGTTTTCTGCAAACATCACAACTCACAACTAGCATCAGCTGCCCATAGAAACAAGCAAGCATCCGCGTAGGCTGCCTTACACGTAGACAATAATCGCGCACGCACAATAATTTCTAGTCTGCCTAGACAGCCATTTAGAATTAAAAAAGAACGTATGTTTTCTGGACAGTCGTCTTACCAACGGCCCTGACACCATTTGCAAACCATCCGGTCAGTCGTCACTCACACAACTGTTCAATGAATCTAACACATCATGTTGCTCAATGAAAACACTTTCAATTTACGCAGCTAAACCCTACATAAAACAAATACAAACTTTCTATATTACACACACAAAGGGACTTTTTTTCTTTTCCTTCTAATCTCTCATAAAGTGTTATATAAAATGTGTTTCTTATCAACCTTGTTCCTAAGTATTTGTCATTTCTTCATGGAGATTCCGATATTTAAATTATTTATCAAAGTTTAGTTTGACGATTGGTTTCCACAGATAGACACCCCGGTTACATTGATTAATTTACCGAAATAATACAGACAGGGTGTGGCATAAACGCTCATACAAAATTTTAAATGAATTCTACTTGTAAATCTTTGGTCTATCTATATTTCTGAGATGAGGTATTATGTACACTATTTACATTATTCGGACTATTGTCCTCATCTTTGTTGCCATATTTATTACAACGTTTCGGCCTTTCAGTATCTGTCTATATTTCTGAGATGAGGTATTATGTACACTATTTACATTATTCGGACTATTGTCCTCATCTTTGTTGCCATATTTATTACAACGTTTCGGCCTTTCAGTATCTGTCTATATTTCTGAGATGAGGTATTATGTACACTATTTACATTATTCGGACTATTGTCCTCATCTTTGTTGCCATATTTATTACAACGTTTCGGCTTTTCAGTATCTGTCTATATTTCTGAGATGAGGTATTATGTACACTATTTACATTATTCGGACTATTGTCCTCATCTTTGTTGCCATATTTATTACAAGGTTTCGGCCTTTCAGTATCTGTCTATATTTCTGAGATAAGGTATTATGTACATTATTTACATCATTCGGACTATTGTCCTCATCATTGTCGCCATATTTATTACAAGGTTTTGGCCCTTCAGTATCTGTCTATATTTCTGAGATGAGGTATTATGTACACTATTTACATTATTCGGACTATTGTCCTCATCATTGTCGCCATATTTATTACAACGTTTCGGCCTTTCAGTATCTGTCTATATTTCCTAAATGAGGTATTATGTACATTATTTACATTATTCGGACTATTGTCCTCATCTTTGTTGCCATATTTATTACAACGTTTCGGCCTTTCAGTATCTGTCTATATTTCTGAGATGAGGTATTATGTACACTATTTACATTATTCGGACTATTGTCCTCATCTTTGTTGCCATATTTATTACAACGTTTCGGCCTTTCAGTATCTGTCTATATTTCTGTGATGCGGTATTATGTACACTATTTACATTATTCGGACTATTGTTTTCATCTTTGTCGCCATATTTATTACAACGTTCGCCGTTGTACCCTCCGGCCTTCTTCAGGCCGTTGGAATGTCGAACTGAACCATTTATTTCGCTCGCTGGAGTACGCTGTTCTAGTTCCATGTGCCATATCTAATGGATATCATTTATCAGGCGTTAGTTAGATCCAGTGACAAGACACAAAGACTGTGAGTTCAATACCTGGTTAAGGCGGTGGAGTACTTTGAGAGGGGAATTAACAGGAGATAACCGATATGTAAATTTTTAATCATTGCATTGTTATGGTTTGATACTCGCCCAACAAAGTATGCTGTTTGTTTTTCAAAGTGTTTTAGTATTTAGCAACGATGTCTATAGAAATTAAAAACGTATATAACTGAGGAACATGAAAACGGACTGACTCCATTTGAGATTTTTAAAACGTTAGTAGAAGTTATACTATGATTAATTTAACCTTTACAGAAAGAGAACTAGATGTCTTACTCGGATTTATTGAAATTTTTCAGGAAGAGAACTAGAAGTTCTACTAGGATTTATTTAACATGTCGGGTTATTTCCTCCTAATTTCCTAGTTTCCGAAACTATTACTAGAGGGCGCTCTCCAACACTATAAATACTCGGCGATATCTTTTCTCGCCCTCTTTTTTCTCATGTCTCCGTTTAGACATCATGTAAATTTCTAGCGGAAGAAGCAATTTTGGGACACGCATGAACTTCACACACACACACACACACACACACACACACACACACACACACGTACGCACGCACATTCACTCACACTTTCCACATTCATTTGTTACATACGCATTATTGTTTTTTCATTTGTAACCGTTTTTTGTTTAATACATATTAATTTGTTTGTACATATATATTGGTTCTTGTTTCATTACGAGTCTTTTGTTGGACTCATACTCTGAGTCTGCCACGTTTGTTGTGGGCATTTCAGAAGATACACGTGTTTATATCACAACTCGTACACAGGCCCGCAACAGATTTGGTGACGTCTGACGTGATTATTATTTTTCTCCTGATAACAAGAAACACACAAGACTATAAATATGTACCGACTCAAATATTCATTTACACACTTTATCCAAACCGACAGCCAAGTGAGGAAAAACATCAACAAATTTCTCTTCCTACCTTGCTACACACGGCGGATACTACAAATTTCATTCACTACAACATATCTACGCAACACATGATGTTCTCCGACTCGGAAAATAGATTTTTTCTGCAACATGTGCACCACACGCCCAAAGGCCGTAATCGCCATTAGAATTGCTACTACGATGGCACAGTCAGTAGGCAACAATTCACGCATCCCTTCCCTACTCTTCTTTTTGCTTCACCTTTTCCTTCTCTCAGGTGACATTACGCTCGACTCGACTTTAACTGGCGGACATCACAAGATTCTTTTTTTATCGACAAAACGAAAATACAACTCAATTTCAACTTTAATCAACGCTGTTTCTTCTGGGCAAATTGGATAAAGTGTGACATACCTCAAAAGACGACTCACTGTCCTTTATTTTCATTTTGCAAAGATGCCACTCAAACGACACTAAGAACTTGCAAGTACGATATGCAATCGACAATAATAGCAAATTTCTCAAACATACATTCGACACTCGGTAGAGATTCTACATCAGCTCAATTTTGCCACAATGCTGCTTCTATTAGATTTGTGCGCCAACTTTATCCACGCATAACAAACAAACAAGCTCTCTCTCAAACAAAACTACGACCTGGAACCAATACAACGGGATGACAAAACCAATTCAGCGTGGAGCAAGACAAATTTTAATAGCAAACGCTGAACAATTTACACTACCGACGCATTTTCCAGAGCGTACTACATTCAATTTGAACATACTACAGCACCCTGATGACAGCACAAACACATTTCGCCGAATCAGGCATTTCAACGGACACCTTTTCTTTTCAGCTCGCAGAACAGAAATAAAAACTCCCATAAACTTTACATAAAGCCAGAAAATATTTCCTGCCTATCTGTAGGGGGTATTGTCGCGTTATTTCCGCCTAGTTTCCGAAACTATTACTAAGGGGGGCGCTCTCCAACACTATAAATACTCGGCGATATTTTTTCTCGTCCTTTTTTTCTCATGTCTCCATTTAGACATCATGTAAATTTCCAGCGGAAGAGCCTGATCCCTCTTTTGGGACACGCATGAACTTCACATATACACATACACACGTACGTACGCACATTCACTCACACATACTTTGGATCACAAACTTTCCACATTCATTTGTTACACACACATTATTGTTTTTGTCATTTGTAACCTTTTAATACCTTTAAATTGTTTAATACATATTAATTTGTTTGTACATATATTTTTGTTGTTTCATTACATTTCTTTTGTTGGACTCATACTCCGAGTCCGCCATATTTGTTGGGGGCATTTCAGGACACACATGTGTTCATCTCACAACTCGTACACCGGCTCGCAACAGACGTTTACAGCAATCGAACTAGAAGTCTAGGAATCAATAGAATGTTTATCAAAAGGACAATCGATCAATGCAACGAAACTTTTTCCATTAAAGACAGATCGAAACCAGGATGTACTTGCACCTGCAAAATGCCAAAAACTCATTAAATAGGTACGTGATAAAATCAAGCGTAATCCAAGAAGGCCAAGGAGAAAATTGGCTAAGGTGTCCAGAACATTGGAAAGAACCATGCGGAGGCTATGTCGAAATGATTTAAGGATATCGCCCTACAAGATAATCTAGAGACAGATTCTTCCAGCAGTCAAAATGAAAAAGGTTTCAAAAATGTAATCGTGTTCTTTCAACAAGTCTTTAGTCTGTTCATGCCGCTTCGGGAAGCAGAAACCGTCATCGACACGTGATGAAGCCTTCTTTTTTGTGCCGTCTCCTTTCAGTACGTAGGCGATCATGGCTCTCCACCTCTTCCTCTATTCCTTGCAGCTCTCAGTAAGTTCTTTCCCTCTGCTACCTCCCTCAGACCACGTTCTGTCATCCACTTGCTTAAACCCGCCAGGTGTCATGCGTTGTTTTCCCTTGTCTATTTTTCCTTCTATTCGACCCGTGAGTATCAGATTCTCCAGGCTCTCCTTCCTCATTATGTGTCTCAGAAACTTCATCTACCTCTTCCTGGTGTTAAGTATAAGCCTCCTCCTTTATTGCATCCTCTCTAAGACCTTCATCTTTGCTCACAAGTTCGATCCCTGATATCTTCAGCATCCCTCTGTAGAACCACATCTCCGTCGCCTCGAGTCTCTTCTTTATCTTTGATGCCGCACAGAAGAACAGATGTCACGTAACAGCTCAGTATTCTTTTCTTTGTTACCAAAGAAATCCTCCTGTCTCGCAATACTCTGCCCAGCTTTTGGAATGTGTCCTTGGCCATCCCAAATACGTCAACGGATCTCAGTGTCGCACTTACCGTCCTCTGTCAAAACACTT